CGATCCGTACTATAATCCAAACCTTAAATCATATGATCCTTATTATAATCCTTGGGTTCCTGCTAAATATTACGATCCTTATTATAATCCTTGGGTTCCTGCTAAATATTACGATCACGAAGATGATTATGATGAGAAGGAAAAGCATTATAGACGCTCAAAACGTTCTCCTGTTCCGACCGATGATGGTAAAAAGGACGACTACGATGACAACAAAGTAAAATACGATCCGTACTATAATCCAAACCTTAAATCATATGATCCTTATTATAATCCTTGGGTTCCTGCTAAATATTACGATCACAAAGATGATAATGATGACAAGAAGGGAAAATTTTATAAACGTTTTAATCGCTCAAAACGCTCAAAACGTTCTCCTGTACCGACCTAAGATGGTAAAAAGAAAGACTACTATAATCAAGGCGTTAAAACTTTTAATCCTTATTATTAATCCTTGGGTTCCTGCTCATTGTTACGATCATGATCATAAATCACAGTACGAGTATTAATTTAGATTTTGGGAGCATTGGTTAAACGTTTATTAAATGAATAAATTTAAGATTGAGATTCTTTTAAAAGAAAATTAATTGTTTTGACATTTTAAAAAAACGTTTGTTTAATCATTAATAAATTTTGAAATTTCTTGTTTACAATAAATGTTGCGAATAGAAATTACGTCAAATTTCTATATTTTTAATGTGTTAAAAACAAAGTGAAAATAACGCAGTTCTGTTTCTAGAACAAAAACGTATGACAAATTTTTTTTTATAAAATATATCATTGCGAGATTCTTTAAACTTTAATTTGATAAAGAACTTTAAGATAAATTTTTTAAACCGACCATTTTAGTTTATCAAAATTGTAAATTATTAATTTTTTCCCCGGTTGCTTTGTTTCTAAATAAGCCAAAAGCGCTAAGTTTGATTTTGTGGGTCGCTTGCTTGTTTGTCACAAGGCATATGGGCGGAAACTTTCGGATTATAAATCCAGGCTTGGCATAATTCATTAAGCATACGACTTTACATAAAATCATTTCAAATAATACAATTACAGAAAGCTTGGAAAAGCTCGGGTATCATACAAATTTTAAAAAGAAAAATTAAATTTTCACCCAAAATCGTAGATAAATAAATTCATCAGTCCATGTTTTAATAAAAAAAAATATAATTTGTACAATTTTATTAATTTATTTGTATCCTTAAACATTTTACTTTTCTTTACCTTTGAATAATGGTGCATATACGGTCGGGATCATATTTGATTTTGATAGCAAACGTCCTTTATGCGCACATTATAAGTTGAGCTAAGTTTTTATGTTTCGATGACTCGATTTTAATTTGAATATCACTAAATCTATATTAGTAAGATTTTCGGCAAATACTTCCCTTGCATCTGTTAATGACGACGGGATTGGGCAATTTGGATTACATGATTACATGATTGTATTAAGACGGCATTATTTCGTTGTCAATTTTAGTTAGATTTTGTAGATCAAAAATTGTTCTTATTCACTACGATTTCACTTCCCGATATTTTATTTTTCTTTTGTTAGCTTTAATTAATTAATTAGCATTTAGTATTTAATTAACAGAATTACGGCCTGTCATTGAGACAACACTTGATTAATTGATATACTTTACATTCCATTAGTTCAATACGCATCATCCTATAACAATTATTTAACAAATATTTTCACTTATTTAATGACTATTATGTAAAAAATTTTATTTTTTCAACAGAATCTTTTAATCAACTTTGTAATGTATATTTTGTAACCAGTACAAAACAATTAAATTGGGATCAAATCCGATAATTGATTTAGCTATTTCAACACGAAAATTTTCATTTGGATTTAAGTTCCTCAGAACTTTATTTGAAGATGTCACTGTAGTGTCAGCTTGGATCACATACAACCATAGAGGAAGTATATTCCAAATAAAAATGTGGTAAGTTTCCTAATTCAACAGAAAGTTTATTTAATTAACAAGAATTCCTAAATTGAATGTAACTTTTCAACATTTTCTTCTCACATATTTGTCATTATTCTTCTTTCCTTGCTTCACCGGCAATTAAGCATCTCCTGATCGGGAGAATGTATGTTCATTTGTCGTGAATACATCTGCTGTAGGTGCACTGGTTATAAAAAAGTGCTTGCTATTTGAGAACCAATGTCACGAGTTAAAAGTTGGTCAAACATGCCTTGAATTTTTCTTCTATCCTAATAAACTTTCTTTCCTTTGATCCTTGATAATCACTGCTACACTGGCGTATACGTTCTTTCATGTTAGAATTTTCTAATGCCACATCCCTTTGATATCTTGATATTATCTCCAAATCCATAAATTTCACCAACACTTACGGATAATTTGTACCTAGAACACGCTCCTATCATTTATATGAGTCTTCTAGGTATCTAAATTAATTCAAAACGGTAACCTTTTGAAATTCGATTCTAATTCTCTTACGGTTCTCAACCTCGATTCCGTTCGGTTTTGCAACTGAAATAAACATTGGTTATTGCCAAGTCTCATCGACATGTCATGTGAGCTTACTATATAATGAGGTTATTTCGTAGAAACCAATTTGATTGTCACGTGAAAGTTATAAATTGTTAACTTATCGTCCCCCCCCAAATTTTTTCTTTCATCAAACATTTTTTTTTAAAAAAATTTGTGATACAAATTTGGTAGAGGATCGTTAATTTTTATTTTTTAGGAGTCCTGGAGTAAAGTTACCCTTTTGATGGCTACATGAACATTTCTCTTCTTTTGAAAAGGTTATACATATTTTGAATTTTCTATTCTTGTTTTTTTATCAGGTAACTTTTGAAAAGTGTGAAATCAGGAAGAATAACTGATGTGGAAAGCTGAATTAGCAGTCATGTGCGTTTGCAATCTCCAAGAGTTGAAACTTGAAAATTTAGAGCATTATACCATCTGCTCACATTATAAAACTCACACGGACATTTGAATTTGCTTTTTGATATTGTGACAACTATTACCGAAATTTTTTTGATTTATAGGTACTGTTACAATCACTTTAAAATTCAACCGCGTTTTACAAAGAGAAAAAGTTGAAATTCATGGAATTCGGTAGAAATAGAGAAAAAGATCATCTACTTAGATGTTAGTTTTTGCCAGAAGAAGTTCATTGCTTTATATTATTTTCTCACCTTTTAATTATTGATTACAGGAACGCTCACTCAAAAGAACATAGATCCTATAAATTAAGGTCAGAATATCACCTGCTTTCTCTATCATTCAAACTTTCAGGCAATTTATCTGGAGTTGCAGCACGAGCAATAATATAATTCACTACAATGCGAAATGCATCGCATCTTACAATCCAAGCGTCAGACCTTTATCAAAACATGATCTCCAATTAAAATTCTGTGATGGAGCTTTTCTTTCTTGCTAGTTTCACAATAACAAAACAATATACAAGGGACCAGAAATGTAAGTTACTACAATAGCTGTCCAGTCAAAAAGTTAAAGAACGTATCAATTCAAATAGTAAATCAATGATCATGTGTTTTATAAGATTTTATCTTTAGATTTATGTCGACATCGTAATTATTCCTTAACACTTACTGTATTGCTTCCATAATACGTATATAATACAAATTATTCACTGCTGTAATTAACACAATTCAGCGCTACACGAGAATGACAGGGTGAGCTGACTTAAAGACTTTGATTATCTTGAGATCGTGTTGAAAACGAAAGTTATTGCGTATTAGAAAATTTATATGAGCAACTAGATATCATATTCGGTAAAACATTCTATCAGACTAATTTCAACTCTGAGAGATTTAATTAAAAATCTTAAAACTACTCCGAACCATTTAAAAAAGCAATTTAGTGATTTCTCTCAGTCGTTACAACAAAATGAATTAATTTATAAGATCAGAACTTCAAAGATGAATGCACTTTTGAAATAGATTTGATGTGATATAATGCGAATTAAAAGTTCTTTGATTTTATTCATTAAGCTAGATTAATCAATTTTTGGAAGAAAATTTAGAGATAATATTAAAATTACCGATTTCTTCAGAGAGTAAGATGCATAAAATAATATTAAAGCGATGTAAGAAAAAAATAATATACAAAATTATAATAAAAGCAAAATCAACATTGCTACTTGGAAATTTTCAAACTACTATTAAGAAATATAAAAGATGTTCTAAATATAATATCACATCCTTTTACAGTGTTTTATAGAATTTCCACCAATTATTAATTTGAATAAAAACGAAATCTTCATTAAAAATCGAGAAATCCTCCGTTCAAGTATTCTTAATCCATAACAAGAAATATTGCACCTCGTAAAGAAATCATTTTTGGTTGAGAAGTGAGCTTCATCTTCGGTAGTATTAGATGAATTTGATTCTCCTATGTCTTGAAAAGATGAATAAATGTCATCAATTTCAGTTGTACCTTCATCAGTTGAAATTATATTGGTATTTTTGTCCATAGTAGTAAACTTTCCTTTGCGATTTTTATGAAATATTTTACTCTTAAGAGATTTAAATGTCTTGGAGATGCGTTTGTTCAACCTATTTGGCGGCTTTCGTTGATTAGGCCAGAATTGATCACCTTCTAATGGTTCCAAGTCAATTGGGAGAGAATTTTCATCTGAGATAAATTCAGGAATAAATCTTTTATTGAAAATCGTATAATTAGGATCAAAAGTAGTTGTTTGCATATTTGATTATGAAATTGTGTTTTTAAAACTTTTTATTTTTTAAGAATACAGAAAGTAAAATGAACGAGAAAAGATAATGTTAAGACGGATCAGCATTTATAAATTTGGGCACGAGTTAGCTAAAATTGATTGCGCGAATTCAGGGGTGGGAATATAATAGATAACTTTTTTACTTATTTCGTCAATAAACTTGCTGGATTTCTGCGGGTCACCAACTATGAAGACATCGTTAATGTACTTGAAACGATAGATACGAAGCGGTTAATATCGGTAATAAATTTTTATGGAAAATTTCAAAGTACAGTATTATATAAAATATTAAAATAAAATCAGCTTTAATTTTGCATGAATACTTGAATAGAGTCATTCTCACAGTGACTCTGATAAAGAATCTTTGTCATTTAAACATTTAAATTCGATTGAATATAAGCCCCCCCAAAAAAATTTACCTAATTTATTAAAACTACGCCTTTTGAGGTGTTTCTCTCAAGGAGATCATATTTTAAAGCGGTTTGGTCTACTAAAAATTTATTTTGAATATACTTATCTATTAATAGAAATATTAAATAAATTCGTTAAATATTAAAAGAAGATTAACCCGAATCGGATTTCAACAAAATATTTGTCGAAGGAGATATATTGTCAGAATTTACATATCAAAACATAGAATTAAAAGAGCGGCAAAAA